TGAAATGCGTTAAAATCTGATTGATGCAATTGTGAACTATGAGTTATATATACTACCACTTAATGGCCCCTTGTTGACGAATTTGGCGTGTTATTGATATGATTATATTGATTACTACAAAACAAACTATCTATTGCTAAAACCCTATAAAACGTTCCATAGTTTTGGAGTGTATCGCGTTCATACATACACACGTGGTCGTTTTATAATAGGCAGGATAGCCATGACTTCAAAACCACACCTTCATGTTTATTTGTAACGAAATTCTGCGGGAAGTTTATTTAATGTTCTAAAATTATACATCCTTTGATTACTAAGACGAAACCATAATATGCTTTTATAAAACTTCAATGAATAAAATATATGAACTAAGAATATGATTTACGTACATTCCAACACACAAATATACACACAATATTCTTAACCGACGTAGTAATATTTAAAAATGGATATATATAGCTTAGTCCGAGTGGCAGTGTACCTTTAATGCTGGCAGCACTTCCTCGCTGTATTGCGACACTAACGCTGGCCATAGACGGACCGCATGTTGCAGTCGACACCAACTGCTCTAGAGCAGTTGTGTTCGACCGCAAAATAAAACTGATGCGAGTTCATTTATAAGATGGATTTCGATGAAGAAACACTGTTTCATGTACTACTATTACGCAACCGTAGGCGTAGAAGACACCTTAGCATGTGGATGCGTCCAATACTACAACCAAGAGAACAGCATGGAATATTTCATACTTTGTATCCCCAAATGAGAGAAGACACTAAAAAGTTTTTCAACTACTTTAAAATGTCCGTGGTTTCATTTGATGAATTAGTTAGTGTTTTATTTTATTTGAGGGAGTGGCGCGCGGTCGGCAGCAACCGCTTGTAGCGGTCCGTGTATGGTGGGTCCGGCAGCTCTAAGCAGTCGACCGCACGGCGAAACTCGACCGCAGAGCGACTGCTCCGACCGCTCAGAAACTGGGCGTGCGGTCCGTGTATGGCGGATATGAATTTAGTATGGAAACTGCAGTTCGCCGTGCGGCGACCGCTTAGAGCAGTCGGTGTCGACTGCAACATGCGGTCCGTCTATGGCCAGCGTTACTCGTTGAGCGAGGAAAGCACCAGCTCTGGTCACCAGTACTATCTACTAGGCGCCAACTTAAATCTTTAATTAGCGCCTGTGCGCTTGAACTCCACGGCCCTAGAGTCTCTACTCCAAAGGAAACAAAATCAGATGTGAGAAAGTATTTGAAGAGGCGGGAACACTCTGATTTTGTTCAAGAAATAATTTGAAATATTAAGTATTATTTGTTGTTAGAAATATTAAATTTCAGTTGAGTTTAGTTTTTTTTTTAACATATTTTTGTCTTTTAATGTACTCCTTCCTACTTGGGGTACATTATAAAGAACGATAGATAAAAATTTGAAGCTGTTAAGGTGGAGCCGTGATTCGACAAATTTATCTTTTTTACTACAGCTCTTGCGTTATGTTGTTTAAACTCCTAGCTCTCAATATAAATAAACATATTATCATCAAGCCCCATTAACAATTGGCAAAGCAATCCTTCAATATAAACAAAAATACCGCGAAGTATCACAATCGAATAAATATATATTTAACTTCCTTCTTTTTGAATGATTGACTTACTACAATTTGTCAGAAATTATACAGAAGGATTAAAATTTATGTCCATGTAGGATCGCTGATCTGCCCAACGCGTTTTAATAATAAACTTCTACCCCCCTCTGTCTGTCTCTTTTGATCACAGCTTAAGCACAATTTGACAGAAAGAAACGAAAGAGTACTTGAGTAAAAAGAGCGCAATTAGGATGATATTAAAATACCGTATCTGGCAAACATTGAATTTATATGAATACTTTTAGTATGTAAAATATAAAAGCTTTTACCTATATCTTGACCCAAACCGCTGCCATAAAATTCTATCGCCAAACCATTACATTGATAAGTCGATACCGTATCGACGACGTAGGGAATATAGGTTGGGGTTTCAGATTATCAGGACAGCTTAAACCTGCAGGCTAACTCCGTAAATTCAATACTTTCATTCCGCTTATAATATTGAGTGGTACCACGTAACTCAATCACGTCAATTAATTCCAAGTGTTTCGTTATTAGATAACGTCATAATTGTTCAAGAGGGCTCTTTTTAGAAGGTGACCAGAGACCTTCGTTTACGTCACAAAGTGTCTTAATTTTATTTTATTTCATATAGATAGATTATTTCATGTAATGAACATTTCAGAATTCAGTTTAAGTATTCCATATTCGTTACTATGGCAACGTCTTAATCTCTAATTGTGATATTTCGGAGATCAAGATGACTGCAAAGCACTCAAAAGATATGTAGATAATCTTATATATAAAATTCTCGTGTTCGTTCCCATACTCTTCCGAAACGGCTCGACCGATTCTTATGAATTTTTTATTACATATTCAGTAAGTCTGAGAATCGGGCCAAATCTTATTTTCATCCCCCTAAATGTTAAGGGTGACCCAACCCTAAATTTTTATTTTTAGACAAAGCTTTTTGTTTTTCATAATACAACATACAAAGATACATACAACCCTTAATTGTCACCCCTCTGCGATCAACCCTTATTTGTTATTATAGTAGATAGTTATTTTTATTGAACTAAAAAAAATTCCTACAAACAATATACGTGGCAAAACGACGTTTGCCGGGTCAGCTAGTTTAATATATAAACCTTTGATTTTATATATTTTAGCTATGTTACTTCTATGTGTGCTATATCTTTATTAACTGCTAGCTACTGTCAACCTCGATTGCCTTACTTTTCTTATATGACAGGGGGCAAACGGACAGCACCTGATGTTAAGTGATACATAGACACTCATATTTCCAGAGGGCTCTCAAGTGCGTTGCCGGCCTTTAAGAATGGGTACGCTTTTTTCTTGAAGGACCCTAAGTAGAATTGGTTCGCAAATACACTTATTATATAAATTCTATTTCACTAAATTTAAGTATGAAAACGAAATATTATGTAAATTGCAGAACATTTCTATTCTACATAGCACAAATCGTAGTCACAAAGATACTTAGTGGATCTAGGCATTACAGCAGAGCCGATCGGCTTACACTTGTAGCTTCGATACTTAAGTGATTAAGTGGACCTCACTGCTCTCACTGAAGCTTATTTGTTGGCTGAGGGTGCTTCATGGAATTATTGAAAGACTCTTAAATTCTCTTTCATCATTGCAGTAAGTTGTTCTATATATTATCGAGATCATGGTTGGAGATTGGTTATCAATAATGTTGAGTTGATCTTCATGGATATCATTGATAATTATGTTTGCTGTTATATGCTTTTTATTTTGATTAATTTATGTGCCTACTTGCTATTTGTATAGTGTGTATGTACATTTTGTGAATCGCTGGATTCTTTTTCGGCTACTGTTATTGGTATTGTCAATTCAATTGATGTGTTATCTATTAAATAAATATACTGGTGGTATGTGAGGTGATAAAGCCTAATCATATCTCTGACTCCTGCACATAAACGAAATTTGATGAAGTTTCGGCAGTCCTTGCGTCAGAGTCGATAAGATTTTCATTTTCAGAGATAAGTGAATCAAAACAAACACATTCTCATTAATTAATTCAGTAGACAGATAACAAAGCGATCATCTCCTAGTTGTACGAACGATATTTTCCTATGTGTGCAATGAATGTGCTCATAAGGTGAAGGAAATCATCATAAGAAAACCAGCACGCAACGAATTCTGTCATAATTGTCGATAAACTACACAGAAATGTAAGATGATAGATCTAGGGTATTAGCGCCTGGTTTATATAGCCTGCCAAAATTACCTAAGCACGTATGTAATAAGGAAGTACTGCCAAGTCTAAATTGTCATTGGATTTGACACAAAATACTTAGCATTCAGCCAGTTTTATGTACTATAACTAAAGCTTTTGTTTTATTCATATATTTGCAAGTTAATAAATTGATAAATAAAGGTCCATTTATAACGCCTTTGTTTTTGTTAATTGTATACATTGTTTTTAGTTATAAGTTGGCTCCATCGGTAGTCAGTAATTCTGGCAGATCATTCCGTAGCGCCAGTTGTGACTGATACATATAATTTTGTTGTGTAAACCAATAAGTATATAGAACATTCCTCTATAGTAAATGAAATATACTACTGTGGCTTGTAATTCTAATAATAATACTTATTGCAGCTGAAAATATTCATATGATAAAATACGAAAATATCGCATATTGATTTTCCTTCACCCATGAAACATCAGGTAGCATTTTTATTTCAAAAACATAATCCCTCAAATTCAACAACAGCCTTATTCCCTAACATTAAGATTTATTTTCCTTCGAAGCACTTATCCGATTAACCTTACCGCTTCAACGTAGCTTATTATGTGGTCCCCACTATACTATTAAACTTTCAACTGTTATTTACCTAATTATTATTTCTTTGCCTTGTATAAGTTTAACCATTTGTTTATGTAGTGATAAGTTATAGTTAATAACCTAATGACATTGTTTGTTCCCCTAATGTATCCCTACTCCTACCCAAACCTTTAAGTACCAAATCCCGATCCTTTCAAGGGCACTTCTATTCCATATTCCAACTCCAACGTTAGTTTATTGTAAACATAATTTTAAATAAAGTTTGTTAGTTTTAAAAAACAAGTTTTAGTCACTGCCTCATAACAAATTTGGCGCAGTCGGTAGGATCTACTTGTGTAGTAAGACGAAGCAAACGTACAAAGGACTAGCATCGCCTAGTACGGTAGCCTTAGGCTTTTAATAGTTTTCGCCGATGCTATGCTCTTGTGGTTCGTGTTACTGTGGTAAGTGGCATTTTACTTGTGGCTCATTCTTTTCCTATATTTCCATATTTTGTGTGTTTTATATATATTATCGTGTATTACTATATCTTATATTTCATTTAATTACAATATTCATATTTAACTACACACGCATTCTACATTTTAATCATCATCATGTCATTAAAGACCGAAAGCATAATGAAGGCATCACCAGTTAATATTCAAACTCTTATAAATCTAATTCCTATATTCGACACAAACAATCACGATGAAATTTACGGTTACATTAGGTCCTGTGATACTGTGTTTAAACTGTCATCTCCGTTTGAACGGGAGACTTTGTTAACTTGTGCTCTAAATAATATTAAAGGCATCGCGGCCTCAGAAGTTCGGTGTAAAACTTACGAGACGTGGGATGAATTAAAGAGATTTCTTATTGAGAGATTCGCGAATACCAAGACAATTCAACATTTGAATTTAGAACTTCAATCGATTTTCCAGAGACATGATGAGTCCTTAACCCAATTCTATCATAGAGTAGATCTTTGTCGTTGCAAAATCTTAGAAAAACTACACTCAGAAATTTGCGATTCAACATTAGACGGACGTGTAGCAACCACCGAGGAAACCGCCTTAAGCATATTCCTCAACGGTCTCTCTACAGACATGGGTATAATGCTCAGAACAAAAGGTTTCGATACCTTGAGAGAAGCAGGTCGTTTTGCAATGCAAGAAGATCAAATTAGGGCTATGAACAAAGCTAGGCAATCTTTATTTAGACCAGTTGCAACTCCTAGGCCAGCAATTAGGAGTAATGCATATCAAAATAATTACCAATCTATTCGAAACCCAAATATTCCATTCAGGCCTCCTAATCCTAGATTTTCTCCAAAGACATGTGCTTATTGTAAAAATATTGGGCATTCAATAAACGAATGTCGCAAGAGAGCATACAACGAGCAAAATAAACAACGCGCTCTCCCTGCACCAATCCGCCATTTAAACTTAGAAGCGACCAACGAAATGAGCGACCCGTTGGAAATCGCTACCAGCTCTTACTCGATGAACCCAGCTCTTTAGACTATTCAATGCTTCCTCAAATTCCAAAATCAAGTCGAGTGTTACAAAGCACTGTGTCTGCATCCTTGCATAATAAACCAGCCTATCGGAGGCAATGCGAAGAAGCTTGCACACAGACAGATTTTGAAGCTAGCTTTATACAGACCTACAAACAGGGTAGCCAGTCCCAAACCTTTGGTCATAATACGGATTCTACTATTTCTTATAAGCACGATGAATCTCCAAAATCCTCTGAATCTAAAAATCGCACTGTATCTTCTAACCCCACTGTATCTCAAAATATCGCTGAATCTTGTAAACCCGCTGTATCTCATACTACTACTAAATCGAATTCAAAATACCATTATAAAAAAATAAACGTAAGTCGAAATCAAACAACAAGAATATTAAATCTTTTTCAATCTCTGCTTTAAATGATATACCTCCAGAAAATCTCTTACATGCTACATTTTACATAGATAATAAACCTGTGACTCTTTTAATTGATACCGGTGCTGGTATATCTGTCATACGTAAAGATAAAATAGGTTTAGCTTGCATTAACGAATTAAATATAGTTTCTATTCAAGGTATTTCCAGTTCTCAATCTCAGATGCTGACCTTAGGAACGGCAAATATTTCCCTTGACAATTTACCTAAACATAAATTTCATGTTGCAAACCTTAACATAAAAGCTGACGGTATTTTAGGTAATGACTTTATGACTGAATATGACTGTAAAATTGAAGTACAATCGAAAATCTTAACAATTGGCGTCAAAAGTTATGACTTATTTTATTTACATGAAAAACTACAAGATTTAAATTCACAGAACAATACTGTATCCCTCGAAAAACAAGTAATTAACAAACGATCGGAAACAGTAATTAGATGTACAACAAATTCTATGAATTCTGGCGAAGCAATCGTTGAAAAACATACATTAGATAATGGCATTATTATTCCACGCTCATTAGTGACCGTCACAAACAACTCTTTTCTTATAACTTGCATTAATTTAGACAAACAAGATAAGATTATTAGCACTCCTTCCATCCCTGTTACTATTTTTGACTTTGACAAACATACTAATGAACAAACTCAACATGAGATAAATAATTTTAATTGTATTTCCCAAACAGATCGTCAGAGCAAAGTTTGGTCCCTCATTAGAGGCGACCATTTAAACAAAGAAGAATCAAACTCCCTAAATAAAATCGTAATTGAATATTCTGACATATTTTATACAGAAGGTGACAAACTGACATTTACAAACCATACTAAGCATACTATTCCTACCACATCAAATATTCCAATTAATACGAAAACATATAGGTTTCCACATATACATCAACAAGAAGTAAAAACCCAGGTCGATAAAATGTTAAATGAAAATATAATACGTCCGAGTACTTCACCATGGAGTAGTCCTATCTGGGTAGTCCCTAAAAAAGTAGACGCCTCCGGCAAACAAAAATGGCGCGTCGTTATTGATTATCGTAAACTGAATGATATAACCATAGGTGATAGTTATCCTTTACCTAACATTACAGATATACTCGACAAGTTAGGACATTCTGTTTACTTCACTACTTTAGATCTCGCCTCTGGATTCCACCAAATCGAACTCGAATCAAACGATATTCCTAAAACTGCCTTTAATACTCCGTATGGACATTATGAATTTTTAAGAATGCCATTTGGATTAAAGAATGCTCCAGCAACTTTTCAACGTGCTATGGATAGCGTACTCTATGGATTACAAGGTGAACGTTGCTTTGTTTTTTTAGATGACATAGTAGTCTTCGCCTCTAGTTTACAAGAACACGAACAAAAGCTATACGAAGTCTTCAATCGACTTAGGAAAAATGGCTTAAAAGTTCAACCAGATAAGTGTGAATTCCTTAGGAAAGAAGTAGCCTATCTAGGGCATATAATTTCTAGCGAAGGTGTAAAACCTAATCCTGATAAAGTTCACGCAGTCGATAATTTTCCAGTTCCCAAATCATGCAAAGACATCAAGTCTTTCCTTGGCCTAACCGGCTATTATCGCCGTTTCATTTCTAATTTTAGTAGTCTAACAAAACCTTTAACTAGTCTCCTTAAGAAAGATGTTCCTTTTGTTTGGGGTGAAACTCAACAATCAGCCTTTGAAGAATGCAAACGTCTCCTTACCAATCCTCCTATTTTACAATATCCTGATTTTACTAAAGAATTTATTTTAACAACAGACGCTTCTCTTCATGCGATTGGCGCTGTTTTATCGCAAGGGCAAATAGGTAAAGATCTACCTATTGCGTATGCATCACGTACTCTCAACAAAGCAGAATCAAATTATTCCACCATTGAACGTGAATTATTAGCCATAGTTTGGGCTGTTAAGCATTTTCGTCCCTATTTATTTGGTAGAAAGTTCAAGATCGTTACCGATCATAAACCATTAACATGGCTTTTCTCTATAAAAGACCCTGGTAGTCGTCTCGTTCGCTGGCGTCTCAAACTCGAAGAATATGAATACGAAGTAATTTATAAAGCTGGTAAAAATAATACGAATGCCGACGCACTCTCTAGGCCCTCAATTCTTAACACAAATACTATTGACTTAACTTGTGACAAAAATACTGATAAGAACGAAATCGATTCTCACGACGACTATTTACAATTAAACTATCAACACTTTACAGAAATTTCAGATTATAGTTTCGACACTCCAAATCTACATATTTCACCAGATAAGCTGTTAGACGAACGACATAAAGACATATTTATTGCTATTTCTTGTGACATTTCCGATAAGAACAATCTTTACAACGAAGCTTTTTTTTTTTTTTTTTTTTTTTTTTTTTTTTTTTTTTTTATTTAAATGTTTCCAGATTATTCCCCGACTATAGTCGTCGGAGGTGTTAAAAAGCTTACATAAATGTATTGGTAACCCGAATGTTTACTTTCTATTACTATATTACTACTCTACTACTACCTATTTCTTTTGACAACCCCCTGCATGACCCTCACGGCAAATCCCAAAAGATGCCCCTCAACCTAACATTGAGCATTATTCCCTTCAAACTCGTCTCCGTTACCCTCATGCCCATAGCTTGCTCAGCGTTATACCTGTCGTATCCATACATGGGACAGTCGGTCAGAACATGCAACACTGTCTCTTCAGCTGCATCATCACAAGGACAGGCAGCACTTTGTCTAACCCTGAACCTGTGAAGATACGACAGGAAGCCACCGTGACCTGTCAACATCTGAGTGATCAATCCCGTTGGTTTCATTTGTTTAATTATCGAAAAGGCCGAAGCAACATTTGGAAGGAATAACTTGGTTATTGCAGCTGTTTCACCGTCTCGATATCTGTGATTCCATTTTTCTATCGTGTTTCCACGTAGACAGTTCTTCAAATGCGATATGGGAAATCTATTGTACACGGGCGCCTCTTCTAGATGCGCAGCTTCCTTTGCTAGTTGGTCTGCTCTTTCATTCCCCTCCATGCCCGAATGCGCTTTAACCCAAAAAATATCAATTTTTTTGTTGAGTAAATGCGCTTTATTTATGTTCTTACGAATTTCAACTACAAGGGGATTGAAAGAGCGACCACCCGCAACACTTTCGAGTGCACTTCGGGAGTCACTATATACGCCGTAGGTTGTTTCTGGGTGACAAAGGATCCTTTGAGTCGCTTTAAGAATAGCCACCAGTTCAGCTTGATACACGGAACAGCATGAAGATAGTTTCAATTTAAAAGTCTCGAATTCGGCACCATTTTTCCATAAGGAAACGCTGGCACCGACCAATTCGTCTACTTTACTTCCGTCCGTATATATCTTTACTGCCGGTGCATCTGTTCTAGGACGCTCTTGTTCTCTATAGGCTATAAATTTGATATCAGGTTCTTTGGAGGGGTGAGGAATACTCATCCATGATACTCTTTGCTCCAGGTCACCTTCCAATTCAGACTGAAATAATCCTCTCTTTGCTTCGTATAGCACAGCGGCCTCCTGGATTCTAAGGTCTAAGGGCAATAGTCCAGCGAGGATCAAGCTGGCATTCAGTGATACGGTTCGGTAAGCTCTGCAGAGCTTCAGCGCGAAGCTTCGTTGTACTGAATTTAATTGCTTCCTAATTCCTAGCTTTTTAGTGGCTGGAGCCCAGACTGCTGCCGCATATAAGATTATCGGCTCGATGACTGCTGTATAAATAATATGAATTACATCTCGGTGTAAACCCCAGCCAATTCTCGCCGCCCTTGCTAATTGTTTGTAAATATTTGTTGCTTTCCTGCATATATTGGAGATATGTTTATTAAAGGTCAATTTAGCATCGAGAGTCAAACCAAGTATTTTTATTTCATCTGATAGTTTCACGGACACTCCGCCCATTTTCAAATGTGGTTTGTCATATTTTTTTTTTTTTAGTTATAATCATAGCTTGGGTTTTTTGTGGAGCAAATCTGAGTCTATTTTTGGTACCCCAATCTATTACATAGGCAAGAGCAGCATTAGCATTTCGTTCTATTTCAAATGCTGATTCTCCGACAAACACCATGATGACGTCGTCTGCAAAGGCTTGACAATAGTACCCCTTTTTTCCATTTCTTGCAGCAATGGATCCAAAAGTAGGTTCCAGAGTATAGGGCCACCTATGGATCCCTGAATGCATCCTTTCGACGTATTTCTATTTACCTCCTCTCCCGCATATTTTAACTGAACCTTTCGTTCTTTTAGGTAGCTATCTATTATCTTTCTCAGGTTAATCGGGACCCCTAGTTTAGCCAGCTGAACCCGTATCATTGGCCACCAGGCACTGTCAAAGGCGCCCTCTATGTCCAAGGAAACTATCGTTATCAATTTTTTCCCATTTAGTTGGTCTCGTATATAGCCGACAAGGTCGTAGAGGGAGTCTTCTGTGCTCTTTTGTGGCATAAAACCGTATTGACGGTGGCTTAGTTTGGGTATCACATGCCATTTTAATCTAGACACAAGCAACCTTTCTAGGATTTTTCCCATCACGGGCAGAAGACCTATTGGTCTATAGGACTTTGGACTCGTGTAGTCATCCTTACCAGGTTTCCTGAGAACCACTACTGTTGCGACTTTCCATAGTTTCGGGAAGTATCCAAGTTCTAGACATTTGTTTGCCATTGATAGGAACACTCCCGGATCCCGCAGGATAGCTCGTGAACAAATATCGAGAGTGAGGCCATCTGATCCAGGTGCTTTTTTGCAGTCAAAGCTACCAATCACCATGTTGAGTTCAGTAATAGTAAATGGAGGATCATGGTTGTCATCATGGTCCTGTTCATTTACTGTTTCAGCGAGCTGTCTTGTTTTCTTATGTTCCTGATCATCGTCTTCCTCTTTATCGCGCGGATAAAAAATCTCTGCAAGTAGCTCAGCCGACTCCCTTGAACATAGAGTTTTACCTTGATTATTTAGCGGTAGGTCTTCATGCCTCTCAGTGGTTTTATTTATAATTTTATATATCCCCTTCCAGACTCCTTCTTTATCCTGTTTTTCACAGTACTCTTTCCAACTATTAATCTGTGCTTTTTTTTGCTTCTTTCTCATATATATCCTTAGCCTCTAGATATTCTTTTATCACTTTCTGTCTTCGAACCGCGGCAGCGCATCGAATCCTACGCTTTTTAGTCACCATTATCCGTTTAAGGTTTGCCAGTTCTTTGGTCCACCACGGTATGGTAGGGAGTGATTTATTTTTTATTTTAGGTATGCAGGCATTACTGGTTTCTGTTATAATATTTATATATGTTGCTATAATGTCTTCTAACTCTGTTTTATCGGTTATATTATCTACGTTTTGTTGATTTATTCTATTTTCCAAAAGTAACTGACCGATTTTCTCTAGAAAATTAGTCCAGTTAGCTTTTTTAGTATAATATATCCTTGTTGTTTTTAATTCTGTGTTATTCTTTGTTATTTTCTGTTTTATTGTAAAGGTAATAGCATTGTGGTCAGAGCTAATTAAGTTTTGATTTACTTGCCAATTTTCAATTTTTTGTAACATATCTAATGTGCAAGCCGTTACGTCTATAAAACTGGTATATTGTTTATTGGCTCGTATGGTATAATATGTGGGCGTGTCTCCCTGATTTAAAATTTGCATTTCTAATTGCTCCAGTGTTGCAGCCATATCTTCTCCCCTTTCATCAATTACTGAGCTGCCCCACCAGACACTTTTTGCGTTTGCATCTCCTCCAAAAATTAAGTTGCGTTTAAATTTGCCTTTGATTTTAACTAGTTGGTCTAGGTATGGCACCAAGGGTTTGGGGTAAGGTTCAAAGTAGTAAGAGACGGCTATCATTTCCCACGCACCTGTGTGAATTTTTACCACCACAATATTGTTTGTGGTAAGTTCGGGGTACTGTTCAACTTTTAAGTCGTGGTCAAACACTGCTATCGCAGCTTTTACAACCCCCTCGTTTTTTGCGGTGCTTTGGTAGACTCTAGCCCCCTATACTGCCTCACCCTACCTCTGGCGCCGATGTATGGCTCCTGTAGTAACGCAATTGCTATACCTTTCTTCTGTGATTCAATTATAATTTCGTTAGTGGCCAAGTTTTTCTTCTGTAGGTTTGCTTGAACTATTAAGTATGATTTTGAGTTTTTGTCCGTTGGGCCAACTGAGGCAACCTTAACAATATGCTACTGAGGCCCTTGCCAATAAGTCCCATCTTTTCCTCGTAGGGCACTCAGAGTCAAAGCTGTTATGATCTGTAATTTCCAGGTTCGCACGTTTACAGTTAATACAGGATGGGATCCCCCAGCCATATATTCCGGGCAATCGATCTTTTTATGAGGCCCACCACAGTGTGAACAGTTTTCTTCTTCTGCTGTACATGATCGCCTACCATGCCCGTATCCTAGGCACTTCGAGCATTGTATCAGGGGTGATTGATCCATAACTTTAACCCTTTGCAAGTCGATGTGCATTTTACCTTCAGTTGTTAGTATTCCCCACAATGGAGGAGAAACTTGTACAATTATGTGATTCGTATGCAAGTTCCTAGCTCTTCTACGATACTTTACTGTAGCCCTTATGTCCTCTTTATTTAAGTGTTTTATTAGGTGTTCATTTTGAGTATTAATTGATGATATAATATCGTCATCCGTATTGGTTTGCAATACATCGTAAAGAATTATTAAAGGGTCTTTGTTTTTGGCAGTCTGAAATGTTAGTGTCCTGTCAATCTTTAACCGTTCCGATACTTTTTGTAGCTGTTGGGTGGACTCACAGCCTATAATTACTTTTTGATCCTTAGCTTTTCTTACTTTATCTACGTTTATTCCGGTCTTTTTGCATTTACTGCCGTTTTAATGCGCTCGATAATTTCATTGCTCGTCTCTTGTTCTGTTGAAGTAACAATTAAAGAGTGAAGTGCGGTAGGCTTTAAGTTGGATGCAACCGTGTTCCTTTCTCCTTTACTTTTCTGACCCGCAACGATACTGGCATATGTGGACTGTATCGAGAATGTAGTTGTTTCTATCTTATTTATAATCTTTTTTTCCCTTATTTCGTCTGTTTTATCCTGTTTTTCGATTAGTAGTTTTAACTGTTCAATTTTATCGTTATTTTTTCTTATAAGAGCTCCTTGTTCCTCTATTCTCATTAAAATTTCTCTAGCGTCGCTGCCACATTCCGTATTTAGCGTGTTTTCTTCTTTTGACTGCTCCCCTCCAACTAGTTGACTTGTATCGACCCGTGCTGTAATGTCACCGTTCGTTTTTTCCAGTTCCTTGACAAGTTCAAAAAGTCTTTCCGCGGCACTTACAATTTTATCTTTTAGTTCCATTTTTGTAAATTTTAAACTGCTGATTGTACTCTTGATGGTCGTGTATAAGATTTTCGCCTCGCTCGTAGGGGTCTTCGTTTTGGGAGACACTTGAGAATTTAGGATCCATGTCTTTATTGAGTTTTTGGCTGAAGCTGGTGTCTTTCTTGTCATTTGTTTAGCGTCCAACTCAATTATATTATTTTCTTGTTCCCTCACGCTGCGCAGAACCTGCGATTCTTCTGTTGACATACCTGCTTCATGAGTGCAGTCCTTGGATTTTACCATGCCTTTAGGTGGTGTTTTAAACATGTTAGCGTATATGTGTTGACAGGTCGTGCGACAACGAAGCTATTTCAATGTGTTCTCAAGTGGAACCATTTCTAAAAAAGTCTAAAGCACTCTACGAAACTGACTTATTGGTTTCCAACAAAAAACAAAACATTTACTTTAACTATTCTCGACCCTTATATTTCGATCCTTGGGATTCTGAAAGTTATTTTAAGTCACTTCTTAGCTGTTTACAGAATAACGATTTGAAATCACTTTACGTACCTGACTTAAAAGATGACGCAACTTGTAAATTAAAAAGGCAATGAACAACTACATATTACATCTTATTTAGCAGACATTTATAATTGTAAGATTACTATCTGTGAAAACAAAGTGAAGACTCCTAATCCTGAAGATATTCCTTCTATTTTAAAATCTTTTCATGATGACCCTTTGTCTGGTCACCGTGGTATAGTTGAAACCACACGAAAAATAAGATCAGAGTATTTTTGGAAAGGTATGACCGACACTATTAAAAATTACATTGACAAATGTCAAATTTGCCAACGGAGTAAGATACAAAGAAAAACTTATAAAGCTCCAATGGTAATAACTTCATCATCCACTGAACCTTTTGAACGTGTCTCTATCGACTTAGTTTCTTATTCAGAAGTAACCCATGACTCTAATAAGTACATCTTAACCTTACAAGATGATTTAACAAGGTTTGTACAAGCTTATCCTATTGTAGATAAACAAGCAATTACCGTAGCAAAGACTCTATTAATCTTCTGTCAACATTACGGCGTTCCCAAACGATTTCACTCAGATCAAGGAACAGAATTTGTAAATAGCATCATAAAACAATTAATGAAATTGTTAGGTTCAAATCATACATTGAGCACAGCTTACCACCCTCAAAGTAATGGTTCTATAGAACGTTTCCATGCTACTCTTAGAGATCATATACGATCGTATCATAAGAGAAATAATTGCAATTGGGATCAAATAATTCCTTTCGCAGTTATATGTCATAACACAGCAGTTAATCAATCATTGGGTTTCACGCCTCATGAATTACTTTTTGGGTATAAACCTCGATCACTCTACTCTCTAAAAGAATTAAACGAATATACAACCTGTGATTATTTACATGATCTTAATGAACGACTCAAAGTTTCTCGTGACGTTGCTTTACGTAACTTACAAGCGATGAAGGAAAAAGCTAAAGAACGTTATGATAAAAATATTAGAAACATCGCTAAGTATAACGTAGGCGATTACGTAATGCTCAAGGTGCCTAACCCTAATAACTTAGATTCGAAATGGGAAGGTCCTTATCTTATTGTCAGAATAGGATTCAATGAAAATTACATTATCAGAAAGAATGGAAGAAACCAAATAGTGCATGCAAATCGTTTAAGACCATCGCACGAATCATAAATTATTTAGAATAATTATCGTTACTAGATTTTTTTTACAAACCAATTTTAATTCTATTTCAGTTTACCAATTGCTATGGCATTTCCCAATACTATATCCGACGGAGAGGAGAATCCTAATTATATACATTCGTTTTATACACACATGAATAATCCTTATTTTAGTTTTATCATATTATGTTCTATAATAAAAATTTTATTTTACATTATACTATACAAAATTTATATAATTATAAAGAAAATAGTTACAAATAGGTTTAATTCTAATTAGAATTCCGAAGAGGTCGTAGTCTAATTCTTGAATATTATTATATTTCTTTCAATATTATATTTTACAAAATAGTTATTTCCATATTTCAGGTACTCCACAACCTTTGTTGTCGGGGATACCCACATACAAAATATACCTTCAAACTCAGGACTATATTATGAAGAAGTTGGTGAAATTCTAGTGTCGGAAAGTTCTTGGAAACTCATTATATATAGAGATATCGAACCATTATTCTTATCGAGGGATTCTCTAAAACGATTAGTAAATAGTTATAATTTTATAATCAAACGAAATTCTAATTTACCTAACGTCGTTACTACCAGTTCTTTTATTAAATTAAGTATTATGAATATAGAATCAAGGTTGGATGAATTTCAATATTACACAAGCGACAAGCGTTTCAAGCGCGAACTTATAGACGGTCTAAGCTCAGTTCTAAAATGGCTCATTGGTACACCAGACGCAAAAGATGCCGAATACTATAATGAATGTATAGATCTCTTAGAAAAGCAACAAATTTCTACGAATGATATTTTAAAACAACAACTCCAAATTCTTTCTTCAACCATTACTAACTTTAACAATACCATTTTAAAAATTTCATACGATGAACACATGATCAATGAAAATTTAATGAAAATTAACTCCTATATTAACTCAACGAATACTTTACTTTTTAATCTCAGTGTATCTGAACAGATCTCAACTGTTTCTATACAAATTCTAGAACTCGTCACGTCTCTAGAAAAACAAATTGATGATATCGTTGCGAGCATTTTATTTATTAAATCGGGAGCAGTTCATCCTTCGGTCATATCGTCAGTAAGTCTTTACAAAGAATTATTAGCATCAAGTCATGCTAGAACATCAGGTAACCTAGTGGCAACCGTGAGTCTTCAAAACATTCATAAAATTTTAAACTCTGCCACAATTACATCATATATTTATATGAACAAAATTATATATATATTAAATTTTCCTTTAGTCAAAAATGACATATTTACCTTATACCATTTAATTTCAATTCCTATAAAACATCCTGAGTCCTCCTTATATTCCACAATCCTACCTGAGCACATGTATCTTGCTATGAGCAAAAACAGTCAACGCTACCTGACGACGAACTCCGTGGATAAGTGTCATGAATTCTCTCCAAACCTTCATGTATGCAGTAAGGTCACAATCTTCAACTCAAACGCACGACCAATCTGCGAAGTCTCCATCTTGCTGACGAATTCTAAAGACATACCTCAAAACTGCGAGGTATCCACATTCTCTGCGCATTTCAACCATTAAAAAATAACAAATGGATTTTCATACTTTCGAAGAAAATTAAATATGCTATGGAATGCAACGGAAAAACTACACATGGCGAAATATTTGGACACGGAATAATTCTGCTACAACCTGCATGCAAATTTTATACACCAATGGTTACACTCATCGCTGAAGACTCGAAATCGAAAAACATAAGTCATCCCATTGTTACTGTCGACGTGGAAAATAACTGCATCGAAGGAACTCCAGATCTTTATAATCCAGGACTCGTACCTATCCAAATTAACGATGTTTCCTTAGACACTCTCAATACTATTAAAGACGAGATCAAACATCACTCTAAAATACTAAATCAAGATAAATATATCATTCAAGAACATCCATACAATTTCACTCTAATGAGTTTATCACTTGGATCAGTCCTTCTTATTTATACTCTTTACAAGTTTTGCAATTGTTGCAACCTCTTCAAATACTTTTACCCAAGAATAAACTCTCACGAACAAGGATGCATTCAAATATTTAATAATTGCTTCGACCAATCCCGAAGACGACAACAAATAGAAATCCCAATGTCTACATACAATACGACGACGACGACGACGGCTTGCATCAGCTCGGACGACGAAGAAGAGGACGCCCAACAAACTTCTTCAAAAGTTCACGCCAACAGGCGCAACCTTTATTTTAAGGGGGAGGTGTTATGTGGTCCCCACTATACTATTAAACTTTCAACTGTTATTTACCTAATTATTATTTCTTTGCCTTGTATAAGTTTAACCATTTGTTTATGTAGTGATAAGTTATAGTTAATAACCTAATGACATTGTTTGTTCCCCTAATGTATCCCTACTCCTACCCAAACCTTTAAGTACCAAATCCCGATCCTTTCAAGGGCACTTCTATTCCATATTCCAACTCCAACGTTAGTTTATTGTAAACATAATTTTAAATAAAGTTTGTTAGTTTTAAAAAACAAGTTTTAGTCACTGCCTCATAACATAGCTTATTGGCTTAGATAAGCGTGGATAGGATCTTTATGGGGCAGATATTGTGATGTCTAGTTATCTGATTAAAATCTAGGACGAAATTCAGGTTCAGCAATGTTAGCTAAAGGTCAGGTATGGAAGAATGTACTTATCTTTAAGAGAACTTTTATGTATAGAGCATTCACATTTCTGTGTTTATTGAAATAATAATGAAAATAGATAAATCAGTGGCGCTACAACCTTTTTAGATCTCCTGACACACGCCGTTGACTTTTTGGGTCTAAGGCAAGCCGGTTGCCTCACGATGTTTTCCTTCACCGTTCGAGCGAATGTTAAATGCGCACATAGAAAGAAAGTCCATTGGTGCACGATAGGGGATCGAGCCTACGACCTTAGGGATGAGATTCACACGCTGAACTAGGCCAACACTGGTCATTTAAATAGTATTTATGTTAGAATACATAGAATTAAAAAAATAAAATGTGTTTATTCATTAAAGTGTATAAGATTTGGGAACCTTTTTAAGTAACAAATACCTGAGTCAAAGTTCCCAGATTATTAATAACAAACTAAACACTCAACTTCATAACATAGTTTGTAGTATTTTTTATGTATCAACCTCCAACCATTATCTTCAAATGCGACATTGTAAATGATTTTATGCATTCTTATAACAAAGAACTAGAGTTATAACTCTAAGTTAAGTTTCTAAAGGCAGCATTTGACGCGCACCTCTAAAATGTGGAACCAGCCCTGCGATTCTGTAACTCACTTTTCGAACTCACACAGCGGTTTTCGCATCGGCGGTCGCTCTCAAATCAGTCGTGAAGCAGTCATTTTATGATTTGGCATTCTGAAAAGGTGGGAGCTTGTAGTTTATTGTTTATGAGAATGCCAAATCATAAAATGACTGCTTCACGACTGATTTGAGAGCGACCGCCGATGCGAAAACCGCTGTGTGAGTTCGAAAAGTGAGTTACAGAATTGCAGGGCAGCTGCCCACTGAAGTATTTCCGAACCAATTCGACACGACTTCGATTCCTTGAAGAAAAGAGCGTATCGATTCTTAAAACGCCGGCAACGCACCTGCGAGCCTTCTAGCAATGTCCATGGATCATTCAATATCAGGTGAGCCTCCTGCTCATTTGCTCCCTATTAAACAAAAAAAGGTAGAGGATTTCGTTGTAATATATTTACAACCAATATTTGTATTTTAACTGAATAAATGAATCTTATTTAAATTGATTATGTAGTTATTTGAATTGAAATATTCTCGAAATCTAAGCGAATCACGCCTTTATAAAACGGAATTTCCCATTCGTACTATTCTTGGTTTACCACACCCTTTTGAACGAAGATTGACGTTTTCGCGTGATCGCTCACGTAGGGGTGATTGCGTGACGCACAGCAGCAGCTGAAACCCATACTCATTAAAAATGACTAGCTTCGCTGTCGACTTTGCCTATTTATTTCGCTATTAACCTACTTATCGTTATATGTATTTTTGTCTAATAAATTGAAGAACCCTGACATATTACAGATATATGAGTAACTTTTGTTTGTATGTCCAGTCCTTTATTAATAAAAATACTGTAATTCAATTCCATTAAAATTAATTCAAAAATCATTTATTCATATAGGTAACAAAATGTACACTTATAAACGTCAAAAAATAAATATATATAAAATGCTTCTAAATTAACATTTACTGCCAGTTCTCAAATCAAGGGCGTAGAACGGAAGAAAAGAATTGGCAATAAACTCTCCGCCACTCTTTTTAATCGCCAAGTTTTTTGTTTTACACAATGTTTGTAAGGAGCTGCAACCATTACACCATGTTCCACATGACATCTTAAGTAATTAAGTGTAGATATTGATGCCTTAGACTCTTTATACACTCAACGTTAAATTAGCTAAAATCACATTGAAGACACATTTCTAAGACAAATTTTCACAAACACCTATAAATTGCAAAAAAACTCGTAAGTTTTACGCCGTGTTACGCCGCTCTATTTCGCTTCTATACCTTCAATTTTTCTTTCTGTAAGCTTTGAAGAATATTTTTATACATCAACGTCTAATAAGAATGTGGTCACAGGGGAAGTTCATGAGCTGCACGTCTATTGAATAAATAATATACCAGAAAGAGCGAAGAAAGTATTCAGAAAGTGTATATGGAAAAAGTTTGAAGAGTGCCATCTCTTGGGGCGCTTTTCATAATTTTCTTCTAAGTTAGATATGACACTTGCAGTCTTGAACAAATAAGTTTTCTTATATAACCTTAGTTAACCTACGTTTCACGGTGAATGTTGGAGGTCCGGGATCGATTCCCGCCAAACAATACGTTACTGGTATAGTAAAAGTGAAATTGGTTGCTTTCTTTTATTTAAGTGCATTTTTCTGCGCGTTTCAGCTTACATTGATGAAGTTTCAGATGTAGTTAAATAATGGGGCGTTTTGTTATGTTTCCTCTCATGTCGGGAAGGACCTGCTAGTCTGGCCTTTCAAGAATTGGTTTGATTTATTTTAAAGCACAATAAATCAAATTCATATTTTCTAAAAGCATATAAACGCTTTCTTTATTTTAGTGGATCTTCACTCAACACTGTTTTATTTAGAATATCCGTCTATAAACTATAGAGCAGTGTTGACCTAGCCGCGTATGCATTGCAACTTTCAACTGTGAGGACGTGCGTTCGAATCACGGCCACACCTATTATGTGTATTTTCCTATCTGCGTAGTTTAACTTGAGGAAGCCAGACCAACTTTAATCCAAAATTCGACGATTTGATTTAGGTAGAGTAGTTGCGGGTATTATGGCCTACTCGGCCAATATGGCTTAGCTTAATTCCTTTAAAATCAAACAACATAAGGTATGTAGGTATCCGCCACAACTTTGCGCCCCTTCCTTTGACCCCCTCAGTCAATAGCTGAGTTGCGGCGAGTGAAATGCGTCCTGTGCATGCGACAATCGAAAATTAGCTTATTTGATCTAACTTTGCGCATTTACTTATTCTTGTTCTCTAAATAGGAAGTATTTTTATATTGCTGGTGCTCATTTTTTTACTAAAACTTTGAATGAATAGTGTGGCGATATTTTTAAAGCAAATTGATAACTAGTTTTTAAGTTAGATTTGTATTCGTTAAAAACGTGGATACGGCCATTATGGCACGCTACGTAGGTCAAGTCAAAAGACAATAAATAAAGGATAAAAAAGAAAGGGCAAAAGTCAAAACGATCCAAGCAGGTAGAAAGGTCTAGCTCAGAAGAAGAAAGCTAACTTTTGTGGGACGACAGTTCTGACAAAAGTCCAGATAGAAGCCATGTTAATGATACAAAGTGTTTGTATTGTGAAGATCTCTATTCTAAAAATACCAGAGGTGAAATACGTGTTCAATGCCTATATTGCAAACTATGGGCTCATCAAGAATGTCATGGTCCTTAGGCACTACCAGGCCATACCGCACTGAATCTTCTGACTTCCTATTTACACGGAAGAACTTAGAAGGTTGAAGTGAATGGTAAGAGGTCCTCTGGGTCGGCAGTAGATATGGGGGTACCACAGGACTCAATTCTTGGACCTTTCCTCTTTCTTGTTTATATAAATGATCTACCTTTCATGGTAGAGAGAAAACATCAGATAGTTTTGTTTGCTGATGACACGTCCTTGATTTTTAAAATCAAACGACAAATAACAAATTTTGACGATGTGAACAATGCTTCGATTGTCCATTGGTTTAGTATGAATAACCTTCTACTTAATGCAAAAAAAGACAAAATGCATTAAATTTTGTGCAAAAAATGCAAGGGTTATGGATACTAGACCAATTATAAACGGTGAGGAATTGAATCTGGATGATACAACTGTATTTCTCGGAATCACCATGGATTCAAAACTTCAGTGGTCCCCTCATATTAACGGATTGGCGAAGAGACTTAGTTCTGCAGCCTACGCGGTTAAAAAAATTCGCTCACTAACTGATGTCGATACAGCTAGACTTGTTTATTTTAGTTACTTTCATAGCTTAATGACTTTTGGCTTATTATTATGGGTCATGCTGCTGATGTCGAAACTATTTTCATCCTGCAGAAGAGGGCTATTCGTGCAATCTATAATTTAAAATGTAGGGAATCTCTTAGAGATAAATTCAATGAAATTAATATACTTACCTTTCCCTCGCAATATATTTATGAAAATATTATGTATGTATACAAAAATAGTGATAAATTTACTAGAATAGAACATACGCACAATGTTAATACACGGAACAAACGCAGGCTGCAATTTCCCCGTAGACTATCTAAAGTTAGTAATTCTTTTTTGGGGAAAGGGATACTCTTCTTTAATAAAATCCCAGAGGCTCTTTTATCTCTGCCTTTCAATAAATTTAGGAAATGTATTAAAGAAAAGCTGTGTAAAAAGGCTTACTATAAAGTCAACGATTATCTAGTTGATAAAAGGGCCTGGGACTAGTGCTAGATAGGCTACTTCTAATTAATTTGCGATATTTGTTTTAAATAAGTGTTGTTTGATGATTTGCTGTTTTAAAAGAGTACCGAGAGTTTTTTACGCCGGCTTTTTCTCTCGGCCTACACCCTCTGTCTTCTTTGCCGATGAGTAGGGATGCCTTCAAATTTAATGACGTGAAATAAGTGATACATGTATCTTATGTTCCATAATAAACATATTTTATTTTTATTTTTTTTATCATGGTAAAAGTTTTAAGATTTGTCAAAGTTTAAAAAAAACATTCATTTTAATTTCGTTGGATAGTTAATAACTTTAAATGTATAATTTGTGAGTACTATTAACTTCAA